ATGTGAGCTGCTAAATACATACAAAAAAACAGAATCCTACAGACTCATAGAGAATGGTCAAAGAGTAGACAGTAGAGTGAGTATAAGTGTCACATAGTACATAATGGACTACAGTACACACAGGACTGTGACAGATGTTCCTCTTGTGTATCTACCACCACCCCACCACTACCAGCAGGAACATCAACATAAGGGTAGCTTTTATTTACTAAACCCTCACTATTTGTTAGATTCAGTGTGGCACATCCCATTTATTTTTATTTTTTTTTAAGATTTATTTATTTATTTATTCAGAGAGTGCGAAAGAGAGGCAGAGACACAGGCAGAGAGAGAAGCAGGCTCCATGCAGGGAGCCCGACATGGGACTCGATCCTGTGTGTCCAGGATCACAGCCCGGGCTGCAGGCGGCGCTAAACCCCTGAGCCACCGGGGCTGCCCGGCACATCCCATTTAATTGTTACAAAACTCCTATTGCACAGTTGCCCACTATTGGGCAACCAGTGAAAGTGGCAGATCTAGGAATTGAAAATAAAGCTTTTTGACTTCAAAGCTTATACATATCCTTACCATTATTCCATTTAGTTTCAAATTTTAGTGGGTATTAAAACATATCAGAAATACAGATTTTTCTAACCTTCCCCAGAGTTTCTGGTTTGCTGGGCTTGATTTACCTGCATTGTATCATCTTTTCCAGTGGTTCTCATGCTATTGGCCAGTAGGTATTGTTTAAGTAATACTATTTCAACTACTTCTTAGTCCTCATCCCTGACAAAGTATCTGCAAATGACTTCTTCTGTTGGCAAGCCTCTGTGTTTGCAACAAAGGTGACAACAAGAGGATCATTGTTCCTCTATGCTGTGCTTTCAAGTTCTTAGTCTCCAGGATCAGCCTCTCAGATGATGATGTAGTAGAAGAGAAGGGATTGTAAATTGTGGCTTCTTTGGTGGAACAGAGACAGAGTTAGGAGCAATATGCATAATCTGGGTTGTAAATCTATTGTTGTAGATTAGAATTCAGGTCTGCAGTAATGTTACTTTAGTATTTGCTGTTTTGAAAGGGTTCAGAATGATTCTGATAATTTGGCAGGTTTGGAAACAATTGGGCTAAATCCCTTCAAACTTTTTTCGTTTCTATTCTGTTGTATGATTAAATAATTTCATAAGTCCTGGTTAGAGAATCAAACAATAAATCATATGCAGTTGTACCTTGTCTTATTAGGATAGCCTTTTCATATTTTTAACAAGTGATATTTTGAATACTCGTTTGTACAAGGCACAGAGCAAGGTGCATGGGTAGATGCAAATATGGAGCAGACATAGGGTAAATGAGGCATGTCCAAGAGTAAAATGCACTACAAGTTGAAAGTTTGTTGAATATCAATATGCATGGGAGTGCTGTGCTGTGAGAATCAGGAAGGGAGAAAAGACTGAATTTTTAGTGGGGGGGGGATTTAGAAAAATCTCACAGAGGAAATGATACTGGACTAGGCTTTGAAGAATGAATATGATTTTAACAAGCTAAATAGCATGGAAAACCACACCAGGCTGAAAAAGCACTACGAGCCCACACAGGGAATATATTCAGATTTAACCAAAACATGTTTTTGAATAGTAGTAATAAACTAATAGGTTTCTGATGTATTTTAAATATATAAAAAATTTAGCATTAGTAAACACTGTAGATCAAAACTTATCAAAGAGTGAACAAAAGTAGGAATAAAACAAGGTCCTGTGTATACACAGGCCATTGTCTAGTAAGTACAATGCAGTGCAGGAAGTGCTCTATAGAAGTTATCTGTCAACTACTAAAGGACTGTTTTCAGAACCATATTCTATGTAACATGAGAGTCACGGAAATTGTTCTTAGGTGTTAGGGGAGAAAAGCTTCTTGGTCAATAAGTATGGGAATTGCTGGTTTAAACAAATGGTTAGTTTTTTTTTTTCCTGTGGAATTCTCCAGAGTCATTAATATATCATGCAGCATTTCTCCATGATTTATTTATATTATTATTATTTACTTATTTATTTTGTAGAGCATCTATTAACATCTTGAGAGCTGATGTTCTACTGAACACAGTTTAGAAAACTGCTGGAAAACACAGTAAAGGAGACTGTATCATTTTTTGGGAAAGATTTCATGGAAAACTAAAAAAGGACAGTTAATGATAGACAAATTAAGTTATAAATATGCATTTTAATGGTAGTATATAATTTTAATTTATACATAAGTTCCATATTATTTAATTTTATCCAATATTATATCTGTTAAATAGAAATTAGAATGGTCCCTGTAGATTATTGTCTTTGTATGAGGGTTGCTTCTCAGATGAGAAAAAAAAAATCTCTTTACTAGTGCATCTATTTTCTTTTCTTTTCTTTTTAATTTTTATTTATTTATTTATTCATGAGAGACACAGAGAGAGAGAGAGAGGCAGAGATAAAGGCAAAGGGAGAAACAGGCAGAGGGAGAAGCAGGCTCTATGCAGGGAGCCTGACGTGGGATTTGATTCCAGGTCTCCAGGATCAGGCCCTGGGCCAAAGGCAGGCACCAAACTGCTGAGCCACCCAGGGATCCCCAGTGCATCTATTTTCTACTGTCAAAATTCAAGCACTATATAGTGGGGTACCTGAGTAGCTCAGTCAGTTAAACATCTGCCTTTGGGTCAGGTCATGATCCCAGGTTCTGGGATCCAGCCCTTGTCAGTCACCTTGTTCAGTGGGAAGTCTATTTCTCACTCTCTTCACTTTTCCCTCCCCTCATGCTGTTTCTCTCTCCTAAATAAATAAATAAATAAATAAATAAATAAATAAATAAGTCTTTCAAAAAATTTAAGCATTCATTTTATAGGTTTTTAAAATTTTATTTATTTGAGAGAGAGAGTGAGCGAAAACAAGAGCAAGAGGGAGAGTGAGAGAGAGCTTGCACAGGAGTAGGGCCAGGGGTAGAGGGAGAGGGTGAAACAGGCCCCCCACTGAGCAGAGAGGCTGAGTCCTGGAACTCAGTATCATTACCTGAGCCAAATGCAGATGTTTATTTACTGAGCCACCCAGGTGCCCCCCTTTTTAAAATAGGTTTTTAAAAATGTTTATTTATTTGAGAGTGAGAGTGACTGAGAGAGAGAGAGAGAGAGAGAGATCAAGCATTCATCTTACTGAAAAGTAATATTCAGCAATATTCAAGAAATCCTGTAGTCCTTATATTATTTTGAACCTCATCTATTTGGATGAATGTCCTCAAATATTTCAAGGGTAGCAAGTCAAAGGAAGACTATATTGAATGCATTTTTAAATTTTTAATTAGATTATTCTTTCATTATTAATTAATAGTGGAGCCCATACTATATTTTTGAAGTTGTTTTTTTTTCTGCCATTGCTAAGTCCATGTGGATGAAGGTAATCACAAAAGTGTTCTTTGAACACTAACAGTGCTCCCCTCCTTCCTAGAATTTTCAGTTGTTTACACATTTTCTTGATGGTTGAGTTAATTTATGTCCCCACAAAATGGCTAACTAAGGTATACCAACTTATATAAGCTGACAGTTCTCTATTAAATATGTAGCTAAAGAAGATATGTTCATTTTGGTTAGTAGAACAATAATAAACTAAAGATATACAGCCCAGATTCATGAGTTTCTGAAATGGATACCAATATTGCAGTTCACAATAATGTAAACCTGTAAACAAGAACCAGGCCATTTTGAAATCTAAGTGATCAACAGAATGAGGCTGATTTCCTTTGAATTCCAAAGAATACTAACATTGTATAGCTTTTTTTGAGCAGATTTTATTGAAGACCAGAGAGCTGAGAATATTGGCCCAAGGTTAACAAATGTGTCCTAGAAAGAGCTAGAACTCAAAGACTAATTTCCCATTCCTGCTCTTTTGATTACATGTATTCTGTCCTCTTTCCTAATTCTTTGCTTTTATACAGTTTATCCAATTTTGTTCTATAAATTCTCTTTAGGGCTCCATTATGTCAGAGGCTGTGTTGATGTTATTTTCTTTCTTTGCTTACCTGAGTTATCAAAAGAAAATAAAAATAAAGCCATCAGTGTTTATTTAGCACTTACTTTGAGCCCTTCATTTTTTAAGCTGGGTGGGATTGATATATAAGCCATATTCATGTCCATAGTCTTATCCAATGGTAGCACATACACAAGTCAAATAGTTTCACTCCATCCTGAATGTTATAAAGAAAGTTATAATTATTAAATTATTATGAAGGAATTCCAGTCTTCAGTTCTGTTCATTCTGATGGTTTTAAAATCAGCAACATAATGTCCTAACACTTATATCCAACTGTATACTTGATGTCTCTACTTGGATTTTTTAAAAGATTTTTATTTATTTCTATTTATTTATTCATGAGAGACACAGAGAGGCAGAGACACAGGCAGAGGGAGAAGCAGGCCCCATGCAGGGAGCCTGATGTGGGACTCAATCCCAGGACTCCAGGATCATGCCCTGAGCTGAAGGCAGACGCTCAACCACTGAGGCAACCAGGTGTCCCTCTTTACTTGGATTTTAATCAGCATAACAAAATTAACATGTCCAAAGCCCATTTATCAACTCATCCCTTTCTCAATCTTGCTGACTTCAGTACATGATAGCAACATACATTCAGTTGCTCAGGCCAAAAATCTTAGAGTCTTTCTTGATTCTTCCCTTTTTTCATACATCATGTCCAAGCCATCTTTGTTGGCTTTACTGTCAAAATTTATTCTGAATCTGGCATCTACTCATGATCTATCATTACCCTTCTATTCCATTGTCCATACTACTGCAATAACGTCCTAATTGGTTTCTGCTTCTGCTCTTTTGCTACCAAATCCCCCACATATCAGCTAAAGCAAAACTTTTAAAACTAAAATTGGATCATTACATTCCTGTTTTCAAAACCTTCCTAGCACACTCAAAATAAAATCCAAATTTTAAACTTTTTCTTGGCCCGTAATATTTGATATGATCTTAACTCCACTGTGGTCTTATCTCATTTCCTACTTGCTCACTCACTTCTAGCATCACTGGTGCTCTGGCTGGATTTTGACCTACCCAGAACACTAGTACCTCAAGGCCTTTGCCCTTATTATTCATTCGGCTTGGGGTTATCTTTGCCCAAATACTTGTGTTATTTTCACCTTCACTTATCTTTGTTATTTGTTCAAATACCCTTTCTGTGGAAATAATTTCCCTGACCATCTTACCTGATATAATAATCTCTACATTCCCTTACCAGTTATCCTTGTTTTATTTTTCTTTTATCTCTCAGTACCACTTAGCATTATGATATGTAGTATATTAGTTATTATCTACCTTCTCACTTGAATGTCAGCTCAACAATTGCAATTGTTTACTGATATATTTCAAGTGTTCAGTATAGTGAATGACTCATAGATGACATCTAGTATTAAGTATTTAAATAACTTATGTAATTAAGTAATTAAATATTTGCAAATGTGAACAAAAGCAGAGACACACACATATCAAACTGTAAGTAATTCTAAGTTCTATAAAGGACAATTGGCTGAGTCAAGGAGATCAAGAAAGGCTTCTCAGAGAAAGAGCATCTCCAAGCCTAGAACCAGAGGGGGCAATGCAATTAACTAGGTCAAGAGAGAAATGGAAGTCTTTTGAGTAGTTCAGTAGCATGCCAAGTATGAGAATCTTAAGCAAGAAGGACCATGTGGCTGGAGCAGAGAGAACAGAAGTGAGCATGAGCAGAGGAGTGTTATACACAGAGAGATGGAAAAGTAAGTGGGAGTTGGATCCTACAAGGCTACATTGTCTATATTAATCATGTGCTGTTTTTATTTTAACCACAATAGGAAGTCTTTTTGGCATTTTAAGCAGGGTGATGTCATGACCAGATATGTGTTTTAAAAAGATGTGTATGACTATAGTGTGGAGTTTGAAGTAGGGAAAAGTGATGATCAAAATGTTCTAAGAGAGGTATTATCAATAATTTACCAAGGAGGTGATAGTAGAAGATGTTCTCCTTAGATCTGAGTGATAAAAGAGTATATTGTCTGTAGAGAATTTAAAAAGAATAATATAAGCAATAAAAAGTCCAACCATTTTTTATTATCACCATGTGATTAAAATAGTCTGCTCAGTTGGTATAGCACTGGAGATGGTATATAACAGCTTGGACCAGAGAGTTTGGCATTTATTCATTCAAAAATATTTTTGAGTATCATCTACGTGCCAAGCACTACTGCAGACATGGGAATGCATGGGCGAAATGATAAAAATGTCTGCCCACAAGGAGCCTACATTTTTGCAAGGAGATTGACAATAGTAAATACGTATCTAGCATGTCTGTGATGATGAGTTTTGTGTGTTTTTTTTTTTAAGAGCTTATAGATTTATCTTTGAGAGAGAGAGAGAGAGAGGTGAGAGAGTGTATGTATGTGATCAGGGAGAGGGGCAGAGGGAGAGAGAGGATCCCAAGCAGACTTTGTGCTCAGCATGGAGCCCCATGTGGGGCTTGATCTCACAACTCTGATAGCGAGATCTGAGCTGAAATCAAGAGGCCTGCACTTAACCAATTGAGCCACCCAGGCCCTGTGTGCCACCCAGGCACACTGGTGATGAGTGTTTTGATATGTACAAGAGAAAGTTTTTTTTTTTTTTAAGATTTTATTTATTTACTCATGAGAGACACAGAAAGAGAGAAGCAGAGACACAGGCAGAGGGAGAAGCAGGCTCCCTGTGGAGAGCCTGACGCAGGACTCAATCCCAGGACCCCGGGTCATGACCTGAGCCAAAGGCAGACGTTCAACCACTGAGCCACCAAGATAAAATGTTAATTAAACAGTTGGCCATAAGGGCCAAGAGCTCACAGGAAATAGCTGGACTCATAATAGGATTTTGAAGATCATATGTTGATAGATAGCTATCTGAATTATGAGTATAAAAAGGAGGTTGGGAAGTAACTATGGAGTGAGAAGAACCAGTCTAAATCCTAATATTGAGATGCCCCAACATTTACTATCCAGATAAAGATGATTTTTTTTTTTAAAGATGATTCTTTAATGGAGACACAAGTGGTAGTTAATTAGATACAGGGCATACCAAGGACTGTTGAAGACATTATAAGATGATTAAAAGATCAATAGTGGAGAGAAAGTCGACTATAACACCAGTGCAGCTTCTTTCTTATAAAACTTTGAAATTGTCTGGATTGAATATTTGTATTTTCCTATTACAAAGATGAGCAGGCTTCTGGGATAGCTAGGCTAATCTCCCCAAACAACTAATTTCCCTGTCACTCCCCTTCTAAAACATCCTTCAATGGCTTCTTTCTCATGAAATGGAGTAGAAAGTTCAAAGGTCTGACATTCAGTGTGCTCTGTGACTCAGTCCTAACTTTTCTTTTCAAGTATGACCTCTACTGCTCCCCTACATGAGCCTTTTGCTCTCCTAGGTGAACCTTCCGCTCTTGGCCATCTAGCCATTAAGTATCCTTTAATAGCCTGGAATATTCTTTTTTTTTTTTTTCCTGCCCTTGTATCATTTCAGGTTTTTGGAATCTCTTCCTCATTCAATCAATGTCAGACCAATTCTTGTCATTCCTCTTCTAGAAAATCTTCTGATTTTTACTCTGGGAATCATGAGAATAATTTGTTGATACTGTAATGTAATCAAGGATGGAGGCTGTTTATTATGTGCTTGTGTCCCTCACAACATCTAGCTCACATCTCTATGTGTTCAATATTAAATAGATACTTATTGAATAGCTATTATGATCCAGGCACTGGAAAGAGCCAAACAACAGCTGCTGGATGAACTATTGTAGTTGTTTTCCTTTTGAGTACTGGGGTGAGCCTATCCAACAGAGCACAGAGCTCTGGTATTCAAGGTGGTGTGGTATGGCAGAGATGGTATCTACGCTTTTATGAGTAATTTCAGCTTTTTTTTTTCGGTTGTTTCTTACATGGCTCACATTAGTTTCCACAGTATCAGTGTTTGAAAGGAAAGAACAATTCCTTCTTTCTTTTTAAAATGATGAAACCTTAATATTTAAAAGCCTTTCTGTGCAGAGCTGTTGGTATGAAATATCACAACATCACGTCTGATAGTTCAATTTAAATATTAATGAAAACCTTAAGCTTTATCTGGAATAGTTAATTTGGAATTTCAATTCTTATTCATATTCTTGTGCAAAAAGAAGGGAGAATAAAGGGGGAGCTTGTGTGTTTTAAAGGATTTGTGAATAAGATTCCCCAGCAGACGCACTGTTTGCAGACAAAGCAGCACAGATGTTACTTGTCTGTCATAGAGAATGCCAGTCTATAATGAGGCTCACTTGACTTGGTGTGTGTATGTATGTGCATGAATGTTGTGTGTATGACACAGCTAACTCACTGCAAAACCCAACAGTAAGCACCAGTCAATCTGCCATATACATAATAGAGTGTTCTGTAGGAGAACAGCAGAAACACAGCACGAAAACAAGGCTCTAGTCTGTGAAATCTAATTTAAAATGGGGCAAAATAAGTGTAGGTTTAAGATTATCTGGAATCTGTGAATCTATTTGCTGATCAATAAATGACATTAAAGTTTAATTATATGACATAAAATACTAAGCATTTACAAAGTATAATTTTATATAATGCCTAGGAAAATTCTTAGGTAGATGGTGTTTGGGGAATGTATTTCTGTGTCCCTGTGGATTCAGGCATAGGAACAGCTTACTGCTTTTCAATCTTTTTATGAATGCCCCCCAGAAAATATTCTTGAATTTGGCTCATTGTGTTATATGAACAGTGATTGATCTTGTCAGGAGAAAGTCAACCACACTTAGCCCCTTGCAAAGCAAACAGCACAGCCAATATCTTAGTCAAGTTCTCTTTGCTGCTGCTTCAGCTGTCAAAGTCACTGGTGCAATGCAGCATTCAAGGTAATTTCCATTTAGTGGTGAAAGCTGTTTTCTTCAATTTCTTGGCTTCTTTGTCTTTTTACTTGCCCCCTATCCATCTAATACCATTCCTGTGTCATTGGCACACTTAGATTTGCCTCACCTCGCTGATTTCTCCCCACCTGCGTGACATGCCTAGAGCCCCAGTGCTGCTGATGCATTATCCATCCAGGGCTTTGTTGCTCAGTGACATTCCAGAGCAGAGCTCAGCCCACGGGCATCTGCCAATGTGTAGGAGCTCTCCTCTCCGGCAATTATTCAGTTTGATTACACACGATGATAAGCTATTAAGAGGCACTCATGCACAGCCCTTTATTTACCAACAGTTGAAATCTCCCGTTTGTTTCCACTGTGTAAGAAACTAATTGTGGTGAAGTAAACAAAAGGGAAGTGCAGTCACCTGTGGTGGGGAATAGTGCTACAAGGTAGTGAGTGTAAGTCTCCCAAATAAAAATGGTGTCAAAAGACCAGTGAGACCCATCTCCCCAACTAATTGGTAGAGCAGCTGAAAAGAAGTCCATCTAGTGAGTATGACCATGCAATCTAGTTTTCAAAACCCCTATCCCTGTTTCTAATCAGTCAGATGAGCATTTTATTAGGCCAGAAGGGGATGATCTTATATACATTCATACCTCATCAACAAAATGCAGATTGGGATTTCGAAACGTGCCTACACGAGAAAAATTCCCTTTAACAAAAACTATAATGAGGGCTATTTAAATTTCCATGTCTCCATTTACAATCTGTAGAGTGCTGCTTTATTAATTTGGTTACAAGTGTATTTTCTGTGTAAATATTCACAGCAAATAATGTTTTGCATAGAAATTCCTATTATTATCATTCTCTAACTCTAAAAAAAATGCCTAATGGCAGACTTATGTGTTGAGTGCATGTAATTGCCAGTCGTTTGTGAGTCTCTTTCCATTGTGAGATCTAAGCAAGCAGTTTTAGAACAGAATCTTTTATTCTGAAAAGAAATCAATCTGTAACGAGGCACTCTTAATTCCCTCAAACCGGTCACCTTAAATAATTACAAACATCCAGTCTAAAAAACTCCATCTATAATCCCTTTTTTCTTCCTTTCCACTGTCCCATCTCTCCCAGCCCCCAAAACAGGCATTTGGAGCCTGGAGGAAGAAAGAGGAAATTAATTTGTTTATCAGGTAGTGTTGGAAAGTAAATGGCTTTCCTTTGAGGGTTTCTTTCCTTCTTTTCAGTGCATTGAATTTAGAGTCCTTCCTCCCCTACCTTTTTTTCCCACTTGTTAATGCACTGCCTC